TACTGATCAACTTTGCTTCGCGAATCCCAATTACAAAGAAAGCAAAAGTATTTTGGAAAACCACCCTTAGAAATAACACCTTGTAATATGTTTACAACTTTTAGGTCACAACAAATCTTCCAATTATGTTCATCATATTTTATTTTCTGTAATATATTGTTCAAAGTTTCATACGTTTCCTTCATATTCGTGCCCAATGCTAGTGGAATGGACGGTTTTTCGTTTGTTTTGTGCAACAATACAACCTTCAAACTTGAAACTGAACCATTAATGAATAATCGAAAGTCACTAGCAGTATACTTCATTCCTAATTTATTCACTAAACCTTCGATGTTATTGCAGTAAGTGAACGTATTTTCATCGTCAACGGTAAAAAAGTTCTGAAATTCAGCTTGGCGTTTTCTATATGTCGTGGCGTTAACATCTGGCTGTGTTAGTTTTCTACGTTTCAAAAAAGAGGTAAGCATTTCGGAATCCCGTTGCGATAATCCAAACTTAGCCACAATATAATCCATTTCGTTTTGTATTAGCGGTTTTGGTTGATCATCTTTTTCATCGGGAATCCAATCGGGATCGTTGACATCGGATGCAATGGTAAAACCATTTGTGGCTGTCCATGTAGACAAAGTATCCAGGCTCGGAGGATTAGGTGGTTCAATATCAGCAGAAAGTGGCACTGGAAAAGAGGCAGTAAAAGCAGCAACATATCTTTTGTTCTTTAACTTTTTCTTATTACTTCCAAGAACAAAATTAATACACGCATAACACCTGGATTCATCATGTCCGTTTTGATCATTTACCCAGATTACAGGCTTAATATATTGTAACCTTGCTCTACGACGATGTAACCAGTGCAAAAGATTACTGTAGCAAACACTGCACACCGTATTTGGCGTAAAATCTTCATTACTCGAATCGATTTCATCGAAATATTGCGTATATGCAAACTTAAATTCCAGTGTAAACAAATCTTTTCGAACTTTTCCTTCACTTTTGGGCACTATGTGACCACAAACGTAACAGAATTCATTTATTTTTGGGCACTTAGTATTTGCCATTTTAACGACACAACAATTCTTAATACTACTAAAATATTATTTTATTTTGATCACAGTATTTGTTAGAAAGAATATGTATAAAGAAATATTTAAAATTCATTTATTTATGATTTAGGCGAACATCAGCGTTTACAAGCCGAAATAGCTACTATATTAGCAGCATCTATTGCAGCTTAAAGACTCCAATCATCATTTTCTAAATTCTGCTAAATTTTTATATAACATATATACATTTCTATATAATCCTTAATGTAACTTAAAATACTCCACCAAAAAGACAAGAATTCGAAAAAAATCTCTATTGCAGTACCAAATCAATCAAATACTTGAACTAATCGAAAATTTCCTAACATTTCTCCAACAATTCCAACATTTAAATTTTCTATGATTAATAACTTTTCTTATTTGTTATCAATTTGTTGACCTATAATATAAACTAAAAATAGTGAAGAAAACTAGGAGAAGATGATAATTATAGAAATTTTGTCCACTTTGAGGCACTAGGTGCGTGCAGTTTTTTCAAATCAATTTGTTTTCTATATTTTGTTCTCCTAGTTTTGAACAATTTTCGACCAAATTTTTTTTTCGTTGTCAGAAATAAAAGAGGGATTAGTGCTTTTTAAATTGTGACCACTGCGAATTTTTTTTATAAACTTTTAATAGCCAGCGTTCCCGACCGCCAATCTCAAAAAAGCAAAAAATATGAAAATTCAAAAAAAAAATTCATAACTTTAACAATTTTTGACCAAATTTTTTTTTCGTTGTCAGAAATTGAAGAGAGGTTATTGCTTTTTAAATTGTGACCACTGCGAATTTTTTTTATAAACTTTTAATAGCCAGCGTTCCCAACCGCCAAATTCAAAAAATTTGAAAATTCAAAAAAAAAATTCATAACTCGAACAATTTTTGACCAAATTTTTCTTTCAATGTCAGAAATTAAAGAGGAATTATTGCTCTTCAAATAGTGACCACTACGAATTTTTTTTATAAACTTTTAATAGCCAGCGTTTCCAACTGCCAATCTCAAAAAAACGAAAAATTTGAAAATTCAAAAAAAAAAAATTCATAACTCGAACAATTTTTGACCAAATTTTTTTTTCTTTCTCTGTAATTAAAGAGGGATTATTGCTTTTCAAATTGTGACCATTGCGAATTTTTTTAATAAACTTTTAATAGCCAGTGTTCCCACCCGCCCGTATCAGAAAACTGAAAAATGTAAAAATTAAAAAAAAAAATTCAAATGTCGATTAAATTCAAATCCGAGCTAATCTAGCAAAACTGAAATAGTTTTTTGCTAGTTTTGGTAAGTACTTTCAGAAACTGAAGTCAAAACTTAGTGCACATTCGATGACCTGAAAAATGTTGCACTGTGTAATTAAAATTGCAATGCTCTAACTATTTTCGTTCGAAAGATAATGAATTTTAACGGTTTTGGCAGTTTAACTTTTCGCCCCAGTCTCCCCTATATATAACGATTTAATTAAGTAATTACTAATTATTTATTCATTAATTTTTTTAATCTATTTAAATTTACTAAAAGACTATATATATGTGACCTGGTCTATGAAAAAGGACCTTACGAGTCAAAAAATCATTTTTTACTTTTTTGTTGATTCGGATAGTTTGAAACGCTCTTTAAGATGGTGAAAACTAAAAAGTCATAAGTTGATTAGAAGTGTTTTAAAAATTTTTTTAAAGTCAAAAGAAACAAGAGTAAAAATACGAAAAAACTGATTTTTTTGTTATTATACAAATTAAAATAACGAAGACGATAATTTTTTATTATTTTTAAAATTTGACAGTTTCTTTGACAACTGTCAACAGTTAAAATTTAAATTTTATATCTTATTCGTAATTAGCGACCTCAAAAACCTTCTTTTTTATAAAAAACGATCACTTTTTAGAGAAGTTGACAGCTGTCAACTGTCAAATTGTCAATTTAACATCATATTCGTAATCAGTGGCCTCGAAAACCCTTACAAACATGTGTCACTTATTTATACTTATTGTTGCTATTTAGAAAACTTAGATTTTTTTTCGTATGTTTGAGGAGTTTGTTATTAATTTATATAAACAATTATTAAAAAAAATTTCATTACTTGTATGTTTTTTATTTTGATACTGTGATCCACGGTGAAGAAAATAAGCCTAAATTGATTAAAAAATATTAATATTTAAAAAAGTTACAAGGATTTTTCTAAGTTAAACTTTAACTGCTGTTTTCTTGAAAACTTGTTTTCGCACGTAAGGTCCCTTTTCACTGTCCAGGTCACATATGTATGCACGTTAAAAATAGAAATTTTAATGTGTATAAAGCATTTCAGTCTTCCTGGAAGGACAAGGAAAAGAAGTGACAAAAGCAGGGTAAGGAAATTATTACATTTCGTTAAATAAATGTTCAATACTGATTAATTTACAATCACATATTAAAATTTTACAGTATTATAATATATACAATCACTATGATTAGTATTGAATTTTCGGTTAACATCCATTAAAATTTCTATGCAGAATATATTCATCATCATAATTATTATACTGTATAAGATTGTACCGCATTTGAACCGTCCGCTTGAATAACGGCTTAAATGTTTTTGAGGCATTTTGGGAAATCTTAAAATTAACATTCATTTATAAATTATAACTCATTTAAAACATTATTATTTAATTTAATAGGTTTCGCTTTTGAACAATTTCAATTAACCATTATAATTTAGATGTTGATTAATACGATGGTAAGCATCTTTTAAAAAACAGCTTAAATCAACTTAAGCCGTTATTCGAGCGAACGGTTCATTTATTAAATTATTTATTAAATACTGATAATTATATAAAATAATTAATAATTATACTTTTTAATTTCAGGGAGTGCTAAGGGAGTATTCCATAATGTAATAGATGGTGTAACCTTATTTGTAAGTTGTATATAAAAAAACTTTTTTGGCCTGTACGACACAATTTATATAATTATTGTGGCAAGCACGTCTTTTTTATATAACGAACTAACTCAATCTTATTTTTTATTAAATGAGAAATTTACACCTTCAATATTACTTTACTAGTTATAGCTTAGAAAAATTAAAATTACTAATTTCTAATAAAAATTAATCAACAGTATAAATCAAAATGATACAATATTTATGGCGCACGTCTTATTTACATAAAAAAATAAAAATGTTGCATTTTTTGCGAAAATGGTAAATTTTTGATTCTATGTGTACTAACTTTGATTTTCTGACGTTGGAATTTAAACTTCTAAATACTCTATTTTGGTTTATGGGCAAAAAGTATATTTAACACAAATTTATATATTAAAAATAAAATAACGAAACGAAAGAAACAAAATTTTGAGGGGACAACACTGACATTTTGCTTCACTTCTCTATTTTTTAAAAGAATTAGACTTTATTTATGACTTTAAAGACGGCTTATTTTACGCAAAATTTAATCAGCTTTCTAACCGAATTTAATTCTTTCTTGTATCTCCTTTTATTTCCGAGATATGATTGAAAAAGTGATGGCATGTTTTTTCATAGAGTCGAATGTAATCGTCCTGATACTTTTGGACGGTAGTGTATATATTATTTTTAATCATTATTATCGTTTTCAATTATGCCACACCTGGTTTTGGCTAGTAACCACAATGAAAGCTTACAGCAAGATAATATGCTATGTGGGCAGATTTGCGGACAGGACATGAAAATGACATTTTAATTTTAATCACCAAAAACTTTTATAATATTTTAAAAAATAGGTACTCTTTTCAAAATTTAAAATGTAACGTGCCAAAAATTGCAAGTTAATTTGTTTCTGTTCTTAATTTTTACATTTCAAAATGAAATGCTCTAATCTGTAATATATTAGTTGTATGTACAATAGTACAGTCAATTAGGGCGAAAAATTCAGGAGATCTATCTTCTAATATCATTTGGAAAATGTGGCCAGAACTTTGAAACAAAAAATGTAAGAACAACAATTGAATTACCAAGCGGAGGACAAATGCCAATTTTAGGATCTGGGACTTGGCATGTATGTAATTTTATTAATGTGTAAACATTTTCTCGCGTAGCAATGTATGTCTATTATTTTAAAAGCAGTCTAAAAATTGTCAATAATTTTTCAGCCCTTTTACCAATTTAGTGAAATGGATACGATGAGTAGTTTGCATGCAGCTTTAGAAGCGGGATATAGGCAATTTGACCTCTCTCCTGTTCATTTGAACGAAACAGAAATTAGAATCGTTTTAAAAGAATGGTTCAATTCTGGAAAAATCACAAGAGATGAACTTTTCATTGTTAGCAAAGTATGTTAAACTTATATACTACTCTAAGAAATCCCACAGTAGCAATTTTATTTGTCTGTTAAAAATATGACAGCGAGTTAGTGAATTAACGTTTTTTCACAAGAGAGCGAAATACTTGCCGATATTGTTATGCACAAGTTGTCACTGTGGCAAAAAAATTTGATGAAACTGAGAATTAATTTTTTATTAAATCTTATTTCCAGTTATCACCGATGAGAAATATTCCGGGCAAAGTAGAAAAATATCTGAATAAAACACTGAAAGACTTGCAGTTGGATTACTTAGATCTCTTTTTAATTCAACTACCGGTGACTTTTGAAGAAGCGTTTTTAGAATTTACTGAAGAACATGAAAAAATGGGATTACTTTCCGCCCCTGACTTGTGGTTTCCGTGGAATTTAAAAGGGGAGGTAGAATTAAATATGAATACTGACAACGAAGCCACGTGGAAAGAAATGGAACAACTATTTCACACAGGGATAGTGCAAGCCATTGGCCAGTCAAATTTCAATATTCCGCAAATTGAGGAAATTATTCAAATTGCACAAGTTCGCATTTCCAATCTTCAAATCGAAATGCATGTTTACTTTCAGCAAAAGGAACTTGTACGTTCATATCAAATTATTCTTTGTCAAGTTTTTAATTACTTTTGCAAAAATTTATTTCTTTTATTTGTATGTACAATGACTAATAATAAGATTTTAATTTTAGTATTTATTTTATTAAATTTATTTTAAGTTTAATTTTATTTTTTCTAAAATGTGGAGAATTAATGAAAAAATTCCTACGAAGCTGGGATCGAACACGGGTACCTTGGGCTTGAAGCACTGCGCCTTAAGCACCTCAGCCGTTCAAGACAGATATGAACCTCTACAATGTTAACGATCTCACTTGTCAATGAAATGAATTTAACTTAGAAAAATTCCAATGAATTTCACATTCATAAATTTCTAAGTCCAAGTTGAACTTAGAAAATAATATTTTCTATTTATGAAAATTTTTCTATTTTCAAATGTTGAATGAAAAAGACGTCTTTGAGACACCTTAAAGACATCTAATGGTCAATACATAGAACATGAATAGGACGTCTTTAAGACGTCTTAAAGACGTCTTTTTGTACAAGTCCAAAAGACGTCCGCAAAAAAACATCCTTAGGACGTCTTTTGAACAAGTGTGCCCACTGGGTTAGTCATTGAATCATTCAATCCCAATCTCTGTCTCTTAATCTTACAATCTCAATCTCTTAATCCCAATCTCTTAATCATTCAATCTTTAAATCCCAATCTCAAACTCTCAATCTCAATATTAATCTCTATATTAATCTCAATATAAATTTCAATCTCAGTAAACTACCATGTCTTTTTAAGGGGATCCCACTTATCGACATTGCAGATCTAAAATGGTTAAAAATCTGCAACGACCGTTTCTTGGAAAATATAAGATATTATTACCTATAAATTTGGAAAACTCATTTTTTATCATAAATACACAGGATGAGTATTTTATTTGTTGTAATTATTTGAAAAAAAATTATTGTTAGAAAGTTAAATATTGGCAGTTTCCCTGTAACAAATCTTTGACTACCAGCTCAAACTTCAACGACCATTTTTCGAAAACAACAAAACAAAATAATTTTTCCATTTGGAAAATTTAATTTTGTAGGAAACTACAGAGGATGAGACTCATTTTCCATTCAGAAATAAATAAAAACTTTATTTTTCGTAAAGTGTATATGTGACAGCTGTTCGGCACTTGATATTTAATTTACTAGCATTAATTTTTCTTTAACAATTTGAACAAAATAAATTTCTCACATTGTGTATCTTTTATCACTAATCAATTTCTACTCGAAAAGAAGACATTATATTTTATTGTTGTTAATTTAAAGTTAAAAATAATCCAAATTTGTCAGTTTTGGAACTTTTGGCGCCATCTCTTGGTTCTATGAACTACACGGTGAGCTTGAATGCTATTTTAATCAAAAGTTTAGTAACTGCAAATGTTTTTGCAGATATTTAATGTGCATCTTTTTAGATTTATTTTCCAAAAAAATGAGAATAATTGGCGGAGGGCTTTTCGAGAAAAAACAGATTACATTTTATTTTACAAAAAAATTGTAGTTATAGTACGCTCTTTACGTTTTCTCTGATTGTACTTTGTTATGTAAACATTTTACTTACTTCACACGTAATAATGTCAGATATTTTTCACCTGTGAAAACTTGTTTTAGTTTTAGCTTTTAATTGTAAAAATTAGTTTTATGTTGAAAATGCCACATAAGGCTTTAACCCATGATGAAAATAGGAATAAAGTGTGTTTATGGTGCTTCCAAAAACGTAAACAAATGTTTATTATTAAGAACACATTAAAAACGTTCGTAGCTAACCTTTGTAGCCCTTCCATAAATCTGGATGATGATAGACTACCGGCAGCCTTGTGTGTCTCTTGTAAAATACAACTTTTTACCGCAAAAACTAAGGACAAAAAAGTAGATCTCCCTGATTTTTCCATATTTATGAATGAAAATGTAATAGTAACAAGATCAAAAGGCAACTTGAAGTGTATCTGTAAAGTTTGTGAAATAGCACGTAGCCAGCCTGTAAATTTTTCAAAAATAACTGAAGAAGCTCAAAGCTCAAGTAAATATTTGTTATTTTCATCGATTTAAATGTTTTAAAATTATTATGTTTAAAAAATAATTACATATTTCTTAGGACAATCGACACAAAAACCCGTTGCTGAGAAACGATGCCAATCCTGTTTTTCTGTCATTGGAAAAGGAAAAGTACACGAGTGCAATTTAGCCTCTCAAGTGACCAATTTTTCCTCCTGCCTATTAGAAAATCCATCAAAGATCTAAAGTCAAGTGATTTCAACAGTGCTGAAGCAAAAATTTATCGAAAACAAAGAAAATGACTGTTCCGATGTATCTTTGACTCAGTTGCATGGCCGACCACTCCATATTCAGTTAAAAAATACCAAAGATAATTCTTCTTTGAAGCGACCATTATTCTCTGTAAATGATATGTCAAATATTCAAACTAATATGAATTTAAGTAACCGAAAGATTAACTCGATTGCATCTGCTTTGCGAGCAGCATCTCGTTATAGGAAAGTGATTGAGTCCGGTTTGAAAACAAAGCTTGCGATTAAAGCTCACTCGCTAGATAACTTTTTTGCTTATAAAGATTTTCAGTTCGTGAAAGTAAAAGGCAAACAAATTTCTGATGATCCTAAAGTCGTTGTATATTGTTAGTGATATCAATCTAAATCAGTCAATTGACTTTTATATTTTTCGCGCCAAGACATCACAGATGTCGCACATATCATTTCTACTCAATTACACTTTTGTTTCCACTTTTCAATTCAGTTCTGTTCTAGCCAAGCTAGCAATTACTTCTATCAAGTTGAATAAAGTTCGATTACTCTTTTCAATTAAATCCTTGTTCTGTCTCACCAATTGCGCCTAAAATCCCGCTAACAATATTGTAACAATTTACAAGGTTTCCTCGAATATGTTCAAAATCAGAGATGTGTTTTAAATCCCAGCTTGAAACTGGGCATAGATGGAGGAGGCGGATTTTTGAAGATTTGCCTTTCAGTACAGACTCAGACCAACGTAATCAGCCTGTCTAAACGTTCTACTTACGATGAGGGTATTTTTGCGAAAAAGTTTAAAGATTCTGGGGTTAAAAAATTATTTATATTATCAATCGCTCCAAATTCTCAGGAGAATTACGAAAACGCTGATCAACTTTGGTCTGAGTTACGTTTAAATTCATTCAAAGGGACGATTGCGACTGACCTTAAAATAGCAAATATTTTAACTGGTATTATGTCGCATAGTAGTACATATCCATGCACCTGGTGTCACGCAAAAAAAGGCGAACTTTATAAGTGTAGCACTCTCCGATCTCCACAGAATACATTGGAAAATTACGAAAAATGGTGTGCAAATGGAGCAGTAAAAGACAAAGCGAAGAATTTTTTTAACTGTGTTAATCCACCACTCTTTATGAATAGGAAAGACGAGGTATACTTGGACATCATTCCGCCACCGGAATTACATTTTATGCTTGGCGTGGTCAACACACTGTTTTCTCACATGTTAAAAAATTATGAGACCGAATCCCTTGGTTGGGCAAAAGCCTGTTACGCGGAACGAGAAATAACCCGGTAAGAAGCGTAGAATAGAAAAGAATTCAATTTCTAGAAAATATGCTTGAAAACGAGAATTTTGAATTATTCTGAATACGCGAATTTACCTCGGAGTTCTATTCCACGGGAACCATCAAAATTTCAGAAAAATCAATTCTTCTCTATTGCTCTCGTCGATCGGGAGATAGAAAAGAATTCAAATTTTCTATTTTTCCTAATGCGCAAAGTTTTATGGTATTGCAAGTTCTTGAAAAAAATATGAACTTCTTTTCTTTTGAATTGACTGCTAACGATTCTAGGTAGTCAATTCAGAAGAATAGAATGTTCGACGAGTAAATCTGAAATGTTTATTATTCTCAATTGACTGCATCGAATTTCAGAAGCGCATTAAAAGGAATAGAACTTTTGACAAACAATTTGAAAAAGCCTAATTTCTAATTGTCTGTAAGAGCTCCTCTAGTTATTGTCTTAAAATAAAACGCATTGACAGTTATGTTTCGCGTCGTGTGAATTTCATTGTAATTTCAGTGCTAAACTATTAAAATTTAATATTGAAACTAGTGAAAATATGGTTATAAAACGAAAAGTGCTTACGATAAAATATAAAATGCTCTTATTGAAAGAAATTTTCAAGTGTTTAATGTTTAAGTCAAGTTTTGAAACCTAACCTCACTTTCTAGTGGAATCTTGAGTGTCAGTGAGTTAATTTAGAGGAATAGAAATTTCTACTGATTTGCTGTACTTTCTCATTATTTTGAATGCGCGTTTCATATTTTTGTGAAGTCAATTCAGAATAATAGACTTTTCTGAAATTTTTGTCATTTCCTTGGAATAGAGCTCCGAGGTAAATTCGCCTATTAGAAGAATAGAACTTTTGAATTTTTTTCAATTCTTCGCTTCTTACCGGGAACTTACGGTGCACCAGCATTCAAAGGTAATTCGTGCAAAAAGCTTTTGAACAATGTGGATATTTTACGAAGCATGAAAAATATAGGTGTGATGAAGTATGTAACAGTTTTCAATTACTTCAAAAATGTTGTTTCTGCATGTTTCGGGAATAATCTTGACAATAATTACAAGAGGTACATAGAAGAATTTCAAAAGAGTTACATGGAATTAGAAATTGAAGTCACTCCAAAAGTGCATGCAGTTTTCTTTCACGTTAAAGAATTTTGCGAGAAAAATGGACTGGGCTTGGGAGTTTTTAGCGAGCAAGCAATGGAATCTGCCCATTTCGATTTTAAATCTACTTGGGAGGTTAATAAGGTTTCTGCTGATCATCCGGATTATCCGCAAAAACTATTACGTGCTGTTTGCCAGTATAATAGTTCACATATCTAGAACTTTGGTTTAATGTATTATTCTAAAATACTATTTGTAATTTAAAATCGTTTACATATGTTTGAATCAAATTAAAAAATATTTCAATATTGTTGGGTTTACATCTGTGATATTAATTTTTTAGTAGATTTGTTAACCTAAACAAAAATACGCAAAGTAGGTTTTCCGTAAAAATAATAGAAATCTTTTTTCTCGAAAAGCCATCCGCCGATTATTTTCATTTTTTTTGGAAAATAAATCTAAAAAGATGTACATTAAAAATCCGCAAAAACATTTGCAGTTACTAAACTTTTGATTAAAATTGCATTCAAGCTCACCGTGACTACTAAAAGCTGTCAAATGTGTTCTTCTTGTTGTAAATTGATATACAAAACAGTTTACATAAACTAAAGTTTTTTATTGTTGTTTTCATATGTAATGAATGTTATTATGTGTATTTTTTATTAAAATTAAGTTAGCCAAATGGAAAAATTATTTTGTTTTGTTTTTTTCAAGAAAAGGTCGTTGCAGTTTGGGCTCTTGAAAACTGCTCATATTTAATTTTCTAACAATATATTTTTTTTAATAATTACAACAAATAAAATACTCATCCTATCTGTTTATGATAAAAAATGACTTTCCCAAATTTATAGGTTATACTACCTTATATTTTTCAAGAAACGGTCGTTGCAGATTTTTAACCATTTTTGATCTGCATTGTCGATATGTAGAATCCCCGTAAGGGGACATTCCAGTTCAAAATGTCAAAAAAATCGATTTTTTTGTTTTTATTTTCGGATTTCTTATAGTGTCAAGAATACTTAGTAATGATAAAGATTACTGTCGCTCCTATACTTTCACCGCTAGGTGGCGAAAGTGACTTCTCTCGCTGTTGAGACGATTCTGGAAGTATATAAAAGCTGAGAACCTGTAGCAGAGAGGACGTGTTTCAAATGATCGTTTTTTTAATTTTTTGATGACATGTAACACTAATACTATTTATTATTTAATTTTTATTAAATAATTTTTAATCCTTTGAAAATTTCTTCATTGGATCCTTAATAAAATACTATGTGATATCTCATATTATATCCTAGGTGAAATCTTGCATAAAATCCTATGTCAATTCCCATATAAAATCCTATATGAAATCCCTTGTAAAATTCCAAGTGGATTCCCATGTAGGGATATTCAATAAGGCGGATAATGTTTTTCACATGGGATTTGGTTTAGGATTTGACATGGGAAAATAATTATAAATAAATGATACTGTTTTTCACTTGGGGATTGACTTGGGAAAATAATTATAAATAAATGATACTGTTTTTCACATGGGATTCGGTTTAGGATTTGACTGGGAAAAACATGTGGGATTTGATATGGTTTTATTGAACTGTTCAAATTCCCCATGTCTATTCCTAACTAAAATCCTGTCTCAATTTCCCATATGGTTTGACATGGGAAACCACATGGTAAACCACGTAGTTTCCTTCATGGAAGTAGGGTTTTACATGGTTTTTGACATAGGATCCCATGTGGTTTCCCATATGGGGATTTTCAATAGGGAGCGACTCCAAAAACCCCCCGTAACGATTTTCAAGCAAATCCAATGATTTTGAAAAAAATGTCTGCCATATTGGATCCGCCATTTTGAATTTTAAAAATCTGATTCCATATTTGTAATTGACGACCTCAAAAACTCCCGAGTAACGATTTTCAAGAAAATCCGATGATATTTTTAAAAATTTCGAAACTTATGAACAAAAACTTTAAATGCATTTTTCTCAAAATGTATTTTTTTGATCTGGTAAGAGTGATATCTCGAGTTCTTCTAAAGCGATTTTAAAAAATCAAACGGCTTTTGATTCAGCGTCATCAAGCCTATAAGTGGAACCTTAAAAACTGGAAAATTTTCAACTCCCTTTTTTTATAAGAGAAATTCTAAATAAAAACACCTTTTTTTTGCATATTTTGGGGAAAAAGTACTCTAAAAAAAGGGGGGAAGAAAATTCCACTTTTTGAGGTTCCACACCTAAAGAAATATCTAACAAAGAGAATGGCACTTCGTTTTTGGTTTTATCTGTTTTAGAAAGTTTCGAGGGGTGAACAACTTCGATATTCCTCGTACACACGGTAGATATTCACATGTATTCTATGGGTATTAAAATGTTTTCCAGCATATATTCAATATTCTCAGTATTCACTGATATTCTTTAATATTCTCAGTATTCACTTATATTCTTTAATATTCCCATATATTCCTAAGTAATCTCCAATATTTTGACATATTCTATAATATTAACGAGCAGTAACATCAGTTTCAAGAAAACTGTAACATATTTTTGCATTTGTCATTTTAAATTTATACGCGTAAAGGCACCGGAAATTCAAAAGTCTCTGCTGTTTAGATACTCTAGTTAACAAACAGAGTCAATTATTGTAAGAGAAGATGCAATATATGAGGACGATTGGTGTGCGTTTTCATCAATAAATAAAGCTTTTTTTATTTGTTAACGCAGGGAGACTACATGTCAGTAAAGTCAGGGAAATGACAGGAAAACAAATTTTTAGTCATGGAAATTAAAAAAAATGATATTCTTTTTGAATTACTTTAAAACTTAAAAACTTTTTTTCCAAATATTGCAACAAAATACTACATTTTTTAGTATAAAATGTAACTCATTTCGATTTTTATAGTGCGAAAAATAACTATAAACAAATCTTTAAAAAATTATTTTTTAATCATTTTTCTATTTAAATTATCGAAATATACAATTAAAAAGATTTTGAATAATTTGAATTTTGTAAAATTTAATTGAAATTAACTGTTTACTTCCTCATAGAGGAAGTATTGTAATACCAAAATTTTTCGAGTTCGATTTTTTGACATATCTTTATGTTATTTGACCTCAGGAGTTCAAAAATGACATTTTAAAAAAATGTCATTCCGTATGTGTGTGTGTGTGAGTGTAAACATCACATTTTGATAAATATCTCGAAATCATGAAGAACTTTTGGGTTGAATTTTTTTTAAATTGTAGATCACACCTGCGGACATAAAGTGAGAGTACTTTCTGATATATTAATAAAGTTTAACTAAATTTTTTTTATTTTTAATTTCCAAAAAAACGTTTCTTGACCATAACTTTTAAAAAATGTTAGGACACTTATAATATTTTAACATAATTTTGTAGAGTTTTTTTAGACGCATCTTTTGAGCCCTAATTGAACATTTTTCGTCCATATTAACCGGAGTTATTAAACTTTTAAAAATCAAAAATTTTGGAAAATAAGACTTTTTTGAAAATTTTGTTGAAAAACGTAGAAGTAACTTTAAAATTATCGTTATCTACTTGTAGAGCATTAAAAAACGCTTCGATTGACCTATTTTTGAACCTAATTCGATAATAAATTTTGAAATTATTAGTACCGTAAACTGGGGCTATTACAGGCTTCGCACTCCATTATGAGTGTTATGGCTATCAAGTTTCCAGCGTCGAACACAGATAGGGCTGAATGTCTTGATTCGTGACGAATGAATGAGAAATAAGTGGGTGATATGACTGTAAGGCTACCGTAAACGAATTTTGGATTAGACGCGTGCGAAACGACAAACCGCACAAATGTATTACTTTATTGAAAATATATTGGAGTGACTTTTCATTTTTAATTGGTGTCTCAGTTCTGTTCCCTTTGTCTTCCTTTACCTTATTTGCTCACTTCAGTCAAAATTAACATTTGGCGACCGTGACAGGACTGTCGTGAGTGCATTTTTGGAAAAAGTGTTGTGTTTAAAGCGTGCCACGAGGTGTGAAGTGTTCGTTGTACGAAAAGCAAGATGGATGCTCTTAAGAGGCAAAGGAGAACCCAAAGAGCTCTTTTTACCAGGAGTTTTAATTCATTTATAACGGAATTTGATAGCGAGGGTACGAAAGAAGAGAAATTAGTTGCCTTTCAGATGTTGGAGAGCAAAATGACGGACTTGGACACAATTCATTTCAATTTCACGCAACAGCTTTTTGAAGAGGTGGAAGACGAGGAAGAAATAACTAGAGAATTAGAGACTAATGATACTTATAAGAAACAATTTCTATCAGCAAAAATGAAAGTTTCTACATTGACGACACAGGCGGTGCATTCTCAGCAACCTACGTTTGTTTCGCCTGCGGTAGCTGTTCAGAAAACTTTGAATCTGCCAAAAATCGAGTTACCGAAATTCAACGGACATATAAAAGACTGGCTGCCATTTTGGACGCAGTTCAACAAAATCCACAGTGACGACTCTATCAATAAGGAGGATAAATTCCAATATTTACTTCAGGCAGCAGTATCAGGTTCTCGTGCAAGTGATTTAATTAGCAGTTTCCCTTCGACGGCGGAAAATTACGACAAGGCGATCAAAAGTTTAAAAAATCGATTTGGTCGTGATGACGCCGTAGTGGAATTTTATGTGCGGGAGTTACTTGGTTTAGTGTTACAAAACGCTTCAAAGCACGATAAGAATTCGTCAATTTCAATAATTTACGACAAATTAGAATCTAATATTCGTGCTTTGGAGACGCTTGGAGTGACGACCGATAAATGTACGGCAATGCTGTACCCTCTTGTGGAGTCATCCCTACCCGAAGAGGTGCTTCGTGTATGGCAGCGGAATGGAGTACGGGAAGGTGGTGATAATAGAAATCCTGAGGAACACAAGGATAGATTATCGAGATTATTGGAATTTTTACAACGAGAAGTGGAGAATGAAGAACGGATCGAGATGGCGCTTTCAGGTTTTGGTGTTTCGGCAGATCAAGAGAAGGCGAAAAAACATAGAGGTAAAGTAGATCATATTCGAGATATTCCTACCGCGCATACTCTTGTTACTAAAAATATTGAAAGAACGGTAGTTTGTATATTTTGTACATTGTCTCATGAGAGTCGAGATTGTGAGATGGCGCGTAAGCTTGATTTAAATAAGAAACGGGAAATAGTAAAAAAGGAGAACGCATGTTTTTATTGTTTGAAGAAGGGACACATTTCAAGAACGTGTAGAATAAGAATTAAATGTGAGTGGTGTTCATGTAGACACGTTCTTTTGATGTGTCCAAGTTTTCTTTCTAAAGATTCTACGGAAAATAACTCGGGCGATAAGGATAAAATTGTAAAAGAACATAACTTGACGAATTTTTGTGACTCACCCGAGGTTTATTTACAAACGTTGAAAGTCAAGCTGTATTCGCAATCAAGGGAAAAAGTTGTTAGAGTTTTAATCGATTCAGCTTCTCAACGTTCTTATATTAGAACATGTATTGCGAAAGAATTGGGTTACGAAATAAAGGGTAAACAAGAGATAATTCATTCATTGTTCGGGGGAATAAAATCGAAATGTGAAAGCCACGATGTTTATTTAATTCATATGAAAAGTATTGATAATTCTTACGCGTGTAATTTTTCTGTAATGGATCAAAACACAATTTGTGATTCGATACCGGGAGTAAGAAGTGAAGAGTGGGTGCAACATTTGCGAAAAAATCGAGAAAACGGAAAAAATGGTTCGCGATAAAAAGACTCAAGATTTAATTATGAGTACAGCAAAGTTGACGGCAGATAGTCGGTACGAAGTCAGGTTACCATTTAAAGATAATCATAGTGTTGTCTCGAGTAATTACGAAATTTCACGCAATCGTTTAATAAAAACCATAGAGAAATTAAAATCTGAAAAATTGTTCGAGGCTTATGGTAATATTTTTAAGGACTGGTTGTCGGAAGGTATTATTGAGGAAGTCTCGAAAACAGAGAAGAAGGAGTCGAATCACTATTTACCACATAGGCCAGTTATTAAAGCACATGGTACAACAACGATAGGACCAGTTTTTGACGCGTCATCGTGTAAAAAAGGAAGTCCTTCGTTGAATCAGTGCTTGGAAAAGGGCCCGAATTTAATTGAATTGGTTCCTTCGGCACTTAATCGTTTTCGCGAGTACGAAATCGGTGTAGTGTCAGATGTAAAAAAGGCCTTTTTGCAAATTGGTATCAATGAATTGGATCGGGACTATCTTCGCTTTTTATGGTTAGATGGGGGACAGATAAAGATATTTCGTCATCGTCGAGTCGTTTTCGGGTTGGCGTGTAGCCCCTTCTTATTAGCAGCTGTTATCGAATTAATTTTGATAAGAGCAATAGAAAAATCGAAGTCAGAAAATAGTACGGACTGGTCGGTAAATTCGGTGGAAAAATTAAGAGATTCTTTTTATGTCGACAACTGTGTCACAAGCGTGGAAACAATATCGGAAAGAGAAAAATTTGAACATGAAGCAAAAGCGATTATGGCTACAGGGAGTTTTGATTTGCGTGGGTGGGAGTACACGGGAGACTGTACGGAGAGCGAGACAACGTTAGTGTTGGGGCTTTTATGGAATAAGCGAAAAGAGGTGATGTCAATTAATCCCGCGATTTTAAATATAGAGAAACCAGATAAAGTCTCGAAAAGAACAATGTTGTCAGCTGCTCATCGAGTTTTCGATCCTATAGGCTTTTCCGCTCCAGTAACCTTGCTACCAAAATTGTTGCTACAAGAACTGTGGTCCGAGAAAGTCGAGTGGGATACAGTAATTGAAGATAAGCGAGGGGAAATATTTTTGTCGTGGTTAGAAAATTTAAAATTGTTAAAAAACGTGGAAATACCGCGCAAAATTGGAAAGGGAGTTTTAACTTTACATATGTTTAGTGACGCTAGTGGAGTAGCGTATGCTGCGACAGTTTTCGTAAGAGCGGATTATCTCGGAGTAATTAACGTACAATTGATTAGCGCTAGATCTCGCATAGCTCCGAAAGGAGCGACTATTCCTCGACTGGAATTAATGGCAGCGACAATCGGCGTTAGGTTGACAGATGCGACCCTGAAATCTATGACTCGCGAGGTCAATAAAGTCACGTATTGGACGGATTCATCGACAGTTTTAGCGTGGATTGGTCGCGATATACAATGGGGCACGTTTGTCCATAATAGAGTCAAGGAGATTAGAGCGCTTTCTAGGATTGAAGATTGGCAGCATGTACCCGGAGAATTCAACCCAGCAGATCTTCCGTCTCGCGGTTGCACTCCCTCGCAATTGTTAGAGTCAAAATGGTGGAGGGGACCAAAATGGTTATACGCGCAGCAAGAGGAATGGCCGGTTTCGGGTTGTAAAATTAACGAGAATGAGGTCGAAAAAGAGAAAAAGAAAACAATAGTGGTTCAAATGGTAAACAAGGAAGAAATTCAACTCGATATTAGTACTCGGTTTTCTTCCTACACTAAGTTGTTGCGTTTTATTGCTTTGGCTTTAAGATTCGTTAGAAATTGCAGAACGCGAATTCAATCACGAAAAACTAAGGACAAATATCAGTCGATAGATAAACAAGATCAAGAAAATCAATTAACGTCAAAAGAAATAGAAATTGCCGAAATACGTTTAATGCAAAATTTGCAAAAAGTTATGTTCGATTTAAAATCAACGAATAAATTGTCCTCATTAAAAACAACGGTAAATGAAAATGGTTTAATTGTTGTGAAAACGAAAATTTTCAACCGCGAAGACAATTTGAATTTTCTCTGTCCGGTAGTATTAGATAATAAACATGACGTTATAATTTTATTGGTGCGAGAAACACACGAGAAATTAGGTCATGCAGGAAGTCTTACGGTCATGAGTAGTTTACGTGAAAAATTTTGGATAATATCAGCGCGAAGAATAGTAAAATCAGTCATTTCAAAGTGTGTTATTTGTCAAAGACAGAAAGCAAAACACGCAGACTGTGAGTCTCCCCCCTTACCAACAAATAGAGTGCGTGACGCATTAGTCTTCGAAGTAACAGGTGTCGATTTTGCGGGTCCACTTTTCTTGCGGGGTGGGGAAAAGGCGTGGATAGTAATTTTCACGTGTGCCGTGTATAGGGCGGTACATTTTGAACTAGCTTCTTCGTTATCTACAGACGAGTTTATGGATTGTTTTCGCATGTTTATTGCCAGACGTGGGAGACCAAAATACATGCACAGTGATAATGGGACAAATTTTAAAGGTTTAGCCAATGCGTTGAAGAGATTAAATTGGGAAATCATAGCTAAAAGAACATCGACCATGGAAATAAATTGGGTGTTTAACCCACCGTCAGCGCCCTGGTGGGGGGGATGGTGGGAGAGGCTCATAGGCGTGTTAAAGACAATCCTTAGAAAAATTTTAGGTAGGGCAAGCCTCACATACGAAAGTATGATAACGACACTTTGTGATGCGGAAGCCATAGTTAATTCACGACCTTTGACCTACGTCTCTGAAGATCCTGACGACCTCAAGCCTTTGACACCATCCATGTTTCTGCAAGAAATTCGCGAAATAGGGGTTCCAGATTTGGACATGTTGTATACCGAAAAATTGAATAAAAAATTAAAATATAGACAAAAGATTTTCAATGATCTCAGAGCGAGATTTCGTTCCGAGTATCTGGGCCAACTAACTTTAAAAAATTCGAAAAAAGAAACACGTAAAATAAATATCGGAGACGTTGTTTTGATCGGAGACGATAATTTGAAGCGCATTGACTGGCCTCTTGCACTCGTAGTAGATTCTATTGCGGGTCGAGATAATGAATGTAGAGTGTTCGTACTGAAAACAAAAAAAGGTATATTAAAGAGAGCCATTCAGAGAATTTACCCGTTAGAGGTAACAAGTAAAGAAACTGTAAACGACCTTCGAGCGAAACGAAATGAAAAACAAAATAAGACTGATAGAAATAAAAATGTTGAATGTGTGATGAATGACAACTCTCAGAATGAATGTGACAAAGACGAAATTGTAATCACGAGATCGGGACGTATTAGCAAAAAACCAATACGATATAATAATTGATATTTTATAAAAAAAAAATATAAAAAATTTTAATTAAAATAAATTTAATTTTTAGCCTGAATGCATTTTATTTTGTTTAAAAAATCTGTAAATGTTAACTTGAAATGTATTACTACGGATATTTGTTTGACAAAGGAAAATGTTATTTTACAAAAAAAGGGGAGGATGTTATGGCTATCAAGTTTCCAGCGTCGAACACAGATAGGGCTGAATGTCTTGATTCGTGACGAATGAATGAGAAATAAGTGGGAGATATGGCTGTAAGGCTACCGTAAACGAATTTTGGATTAGACGCGTGCGAAACGACAAACCGCACAAATGTATTACTTTATTGAAAATATATTGGAGTGACTTTTCATTTTTAATTGGTGTCTCAGTTCTGTTCCCTTTGTCTTCCTTTACCTTATTTGCTCACTTCAGTCAAAATTAACAATGAGTTTAAAAAAAGTAGGAAAAAGTAGCCTCGACGACAAAAAAAAGTAGGAAATAGTAGCCTCGATGACTAAAAAAAGTAGGAAATAGTAGCCTCGGTGACAAAAAAAAAGAATTAAAGAATTTCATTAAAAACTTTTTAAAAAATCGAATTTTCAAAGTATTTTAATTTAATAATTGATAAATAATTAAATTTTACAAGGAGTCACATTCTAATATATTCATATTTCTAAGTGCGAGGATTTATAATTAGAATTTTTATTAGTTAATTTAGAAAAAGATACACACTTTAAATTTTTTAATAAAATTGAATTTTCGCAAAAATTTTTTTGAAAATTTTGAAAAATAAGATTTTTTAATTCTGTTATTTTAAGATAACTAAATTTTTATAAACATATAATTGAAATTTTTTTATGTAATTAAAATTTCTTTACATTCTATTACAAATAATTTACTTCTTTTAAAGAATTTTATTTAAATTTTTCGAAAATAATGAAGGGAAGTTAGTCACCGTATAATTATAATTTTATTTTTAAAAATTTATTCGCAATACATTAAATTATTTTCATAAATAGTAAAACTTCGACAAAACTAAATTACTTTCAGGAATTTTAATAAAATTCATTGTAAAAGTTCAATTATTTCTATAAATAACGAGAATTCATTTATATTCACCACAAGAATTCAATTACTTAAAAACAATTTTGTTAAAATTCTACACGAATATTCAATTATTTTCTAAAAGAATGAAAATTTCATAGGAATTGAATTATTAAAAATAGAGTTTATCTAGATTTTTTTTTAAAATCAATTATTTGAAACTTTTTTATAAAATCCTCGCAATATTTCAATTACTTTCATAAATAATAAAACTCATTTCAGAAATAGAATTATGTTTAATACAATTTTAATCAAATTCGTCGACAAATGCAATTATTTTTAAAAATTTGATTAAAATTTGTCGAAAGAATTCAATTCGACGCTTCCCGTTCATAAAATGCTAACATTAATGTCAGAGCAAGATAATTCTAATTAAAAAACAAGTGCAATATAAAGTTAACAAAAAAATTGTGCAAGATAATTCTATTCCAATATTCCGTGCAAGACAATTGTAATTCAAATTTGCGTGCAATATAATAACACGTGAAGTTGCGGACAATATAATTCTATCAAAAATATTAATGCAAGTCAATTTTAACTTCCGACACAACGTAAAACAATGCCCACTCAACCTCAAAATAATAAAAACGTTCAAAAATTCATTAAATTCATGGTTTTGATATTAACGGTTATGTGAAATGTAGTGAAGCAAATTTTTGTTAATCAAAATTTGAATTGAGAAATTCGGAATTGTCGATAAAAGGACAAATAATATCTCTTTACATTTAGAATTGTTTCGTCTATTTGTCAATTCAAATTTTGTTGTCATTTCATATAATTGCGATTTCAGTTTAAAAAATATATATAGAAGAAACTAAAATTTTTCATACACGCTATTGAAGTCTCTTTAAATTTTTATTTAGGGTAATTCTCAATAACGAATAAGTAATAATTTTTATCGTAAAAAGCTGGAAAAATGTCTTAAACTGCTACCTACAATTGTATTATTATTATGAACTCAAGTAAGAATTTTATATACTTTAATACTGCGAAAGAAAATTTTTTATAATCTTCAAATAACTGAATTATCATTTCTAAAAATTATTATTTTTTATATTTCTTATTTACACTAATATTTTTATTTTTGAAATGTCAATTTTGATAAATATTATTTTATAGATTTGTTAATAATTATAATAATTATATTCCCGAATTATTATTCAATATAATTCAAATATTACCGAATTACCAATTCTTAAAAAATTTATTGTTCCTAATAATATTTTTTTATAATGTGTAAATTTTCTATATTTTAGAGTTTCTAAATTTTATTTTTTCGAAATATCATTTGTTATAAAACTTTTTTCTTATAAATGTTTTTCAAAATAATTTTAACTTTTTCGAATTAACATTACTCATAATTTTCTTTACTTCTAATCATTCTTCTTTATAATTACTATATTTTCTAACATGTATTTCTTCTAACTATAACTTTACCGAATTGTCACTTCTCATAATTATTATTATATCGAAAAATTATTTTTCAAAATTTTTGTAATATCTAATAATTTTTTATACAAATTTTTTTATTGTATAATAACCAGTTTTTATAATTTTATTTTATTCGAATAATTATTTTGTATAATTTTTTTCTTACCGAAACTATATTTTAAATAATTTTTTTAACCGATTTTTTATTTTTCCTAATATTCATTTTTCCAAATAAGGGCATATCTCTAGAACCTTTAACTTTTCAATGAGAAAAAATTTGTTAATTTTTTATTGAGCACAGTATTGAAACTCTGTCTACATAAACTTTAAGAAATAAGCTTTCAAAATATCCAAGTGGACAGATAAAATGATTCGTCTTCAAAAAGTTATAAACTATTTAAAATTGCGAATTATTTTTAACGTGCAACAAAAAAATATTTAACAGGTGTTTGTTTTTTAGAATCGAAAACAGTTGAAAGTAATTAACTGAGGGGTTATAATTTATAATATAATAATTATATTATTATATAATATATTACTTTTGTATTTATTATATTATTACTAGTCATTAACATTACTTTTCTTTTATTTTTTGTTTGAATTACTAAAAAATTAAAATGGTTTTTATTTTAAAAATAGATTTTAATTAAACTGAATTGTAAAAATATGAAATTATAATGTATAAAGTTTACCTTGCAATTTCCAGATACATTTTATTTAAATTTAACACTCATAAACTTTCCAATTTCTATTTATTTTTTTCTATTTTTCTTTTTTCTTATATATCCTATTTTTTTCGATCATTTATTCTGTCTAAAAAATCAAAATATAAACATTGAAACTTAACCTTCAGTTTTATTTATTAACAGTTTCTATAAAAAAGTGAGAATCGACAACTTCATACTTAACAATTTCTTTTCTAAAAACTTTTGGTTGATTACGGTCGACCGTAATTGACAAATATTTTTACATTATCTTTGCAATAAAGTATTTTTTCTTGAAGCACATTCACGGGATGTTAAATGGCACATGCGAAAATATTTACAAGTACTTTTAAAATACTTTTATTTGATTTTCGTGGAGTATCACTCGAATTACGGTCGTTTTCAAATTTTGTACGCGCGTGTTTTCTGTTATTTAAATTACAACAGTTTTTTGAAGACACGAGGCACATCAATTTACTATGTCTCAAAATAATTCTAATAATTTGAACTTTTATTTCCCGTAAGTCATTTTGATGTGCCATTTGTCTTATTAATGAAAAATGATAAATATCTCGATTACGATCAAAAAGGTTAAAAGTGAGGGACAACGTTTGAAAGCTTATAACTTTTTTCAAAATTAACAAATTTTTAATTTTCATACGGAAAAGTGTTCACTGTTTAATTAACTTTAAAAAGATGCGTCTTAGAATTAGTAACTCTTATTCATTACAAAGTTTTATCGTTTAACCCATCCGAGAGTATGGTTAGGGACAAGTAGATATTGTAAAAAATCGGGCACTCAGATTGGAATAATTATTGATATATTTAATAAATTAATGTAAAACCTTTTGGAACTGATTCATCTTATCAAGCTTTAATATTTCCAACAAAAATAAAGTAAAAAGTTATTGAAATTATCGAAATATATGCGAGGGACATGAAAGTTAAAGGTTCCAGAGATATGCCCATAATTCTTTTTCATAATTTTTATATTTCCTAATTCGTATTTTACATAACATACATTTTTTCTAAGATTTAAATTCTCTAATTTATTATTTTCCTAACCTATAAATGTCATAATAAAAATTGCACCGTGTTACGAGCACATATGAGTTTTATGCGCAAACTCCGCGTGCTCTATTATGATTCGTTGAGTTCATACTTTGGCTGAATCCTTAAGAGGAACCGGGAATTACAAATAATAAAACAATAATATTCCGTTAAAACGGAGGGAAAACCTCACAAGTAAAATGGATCAATTAACAATCAATAATATTAATTATCAATGGAAACCAGTCTTCTTGAGAGTAAACCCAATTAATTTATTAAATAAAATGGTTCAAAGATACAAAATGACTAAGGAAACAAACGAAGCAACCTTGTCAGTCAACCGTCAACTTAGATCTAACTTCTAGTCTTGTAGTTATAGTCTAGCAGAGTTGTTCTCAGCTGTTAGTCCATGTTGAGGGTAGTGCGCATGTTCCAAGTGACGCGCATCCCCCACTTTACTATACAATTTTATGCACTTCACTAACTTAAATACAGTCTCATACGTCATACTTATTGGTGTAGATACAGACACATTTGTCATAATAATATTATTCGTTATCTTTATCATATTATAACTCTTTCAATAATTTAATTTATATATACAAATAATAAACTAGTAAATATATATATATCGATAATAAGCATATTTACTCTTATATACAACACACACACACATATACGTTTACAATTATAGTAAATATTGTATAAAATAATACAGCGCTG